AACGTTACTTACTACGTACGTAACGTACGTACGGACGTACGTACGTACTACTACGTACTACACACACCACCGTACCTACCTACGTACGTAGTGTCGTACTACTACTCTCTCTCTCTCTCTCTCTCTCTCTCTCTCTCTCTCTCTCTCTCTCTCTCCACACCAGCTTGCACAATTACATGCATTAGATGAGTAACTATTACCTGAATCTCTAGTGCCAGATTGTGTCCTCTAAACGTGAAAGCAATGATTCCAAGAGAATTCAAGAGAGAGAGAGCGGTCACTGAGAAGGAAGGAGATCTGAGGGGTTGGTAAGAGATGGAAGGTGGTCTAGGCTGGCTAACAGAGAGGACCCACGACATGGTGGAGTATGTGATGGCTGTGATGGCCCCTACTAGAGAGAGCCCTGCAATGGAGTTGAGGTTTGGCAATTGAGAGAGAACAATACAAAGGGTGGTGAAGACAAGGTACCATTCAATAGTGGAGAGAGGGTTAGATTCACAGTTGGGTCCACACACTATCTGGAAGAAGAGCTTCATGGTCTCCCCACCAATTAAGATAAGAGCAGTTGCAGTTCCTGCTGAGAGGTACACTGTTGGGAAGAGAGCTAACCATACTCCAAGCTTTTCGCCTGCAAATAATGAGTTTTTCATGGATGAGAGTTGCAGAAATAGATTCATTGGATAGTGACTAACTTTTAAGGTACGAAGGCCCTTTTTTTCAACAGAATGAACCTTACAAAATGGGAATCTTCTTCTCTGAGAAGGTAAGAGCATAACTCAACAAAGAATTTAAGAGCATAAAAGCTTCACCAAATGAATAGCTTTTGAAATAGAGGATAAGATTACATTTTCATATCTTTACTTGGCAACCTATTGTGATTAAAAACAGACCAGACTGATCTGACACTCCAGACAGCGATATGGCTATTTTGACAAAAAGAAAAAGCACATTTTAATATTTGATCGATTCAGATGTGTAAGTCAACTCACTTGGAAAATTGGGGTTTGCTTTTGTGCTTTAGAATGCTTCATCGTTTGGATTTTATGTTTTTTCTTATCTTTTTCAGATTTTTTTTCACCAAAAAAACTGAATCCATTATTCTATTACTTTGACAGAACCTATCTCATATGGATTTTTGTATTCATTTGGATAGTTTACAGCAGCATCTTGTTAAACTCATAATAATAGTAGCTCCCTATACAAAGAAAACTACAGAATATCATTTTAAACCATAACCGTATAAGTCTGGTGTACCTGCTGACAATCTGAGGAGTTATATAACTTGTGATTACTCATTTACCCTGCATTTAGGCTATGGATGTTTGGCGACTACTTATGACTTAATTTATTTCAAAGTCCTACCGGTGTTTAAAAACATGGGCTTGAGCAGGGGCTTGCTAGGGTCCCAAGCCCGATGCACTCAGTTCCATTCAGGGGTGCCCTGAGACAGACAGCATGGCTTTAAACAAATAAATTATGTATTTCTTTTAAAAAATCACCAACTACCTCCAGACTCACCAGGTCTCTGTTCTAAGCCAACCTCATTGAATCCCGAGCTGAGCCAGCAATGTTTTAAACACTGCTTATTACATATGGCCAGTCTTATTAATGCATGAATGGAGAAAAGTTTGTGCATTGTTTAACAATTTGAATTTGTTTTGTCGGTTCTCCATGCTCTCGCTTCCAATCACAATTCAAACAAATAATTTAGTTATCCAATGCCTCATATTTCTGCTACTAAACAGATTCCAAACTATGATTTGAAGAAAGAAGCAATGCTGATGTATCTTCACTGACTCTAAATTATGATAAGCAACATAAGGGATTAATTATCCATTACCAAATGCTGCTTGTGCAAGCTCCACATATCTGTTGTATCTCTTCCCAGGAACAGCTTCATGTAACCTCACTAAAACCCAGAGTGTGTAGAGTTGCCAACAATATGCTATTACCAAAGAGATAATCCCCCAACTCCTGCATTTATCTCTAGGTGATCAAAAAGTAATAAATTGAACAGTAGAAAAGGGTGGAAGCTGAACCCATGATTGCCCCAAAAACGAAAAGAGACAAAGAGAGGAGCAAGAAATAAATTAAATAAGTGAAATCCTCAAAACCCAAAAGAAAACAATTTTGGAAAAATCCAAAAAGAATTTAAGAGAGAGATAGAGAGAGAGAGAGAGAGAGAGAGAGAGAAGGAGGGAGATTAAACCAAAAAATATAATGCTGAATGAACTAAAATAAAAATAACCCGAATTACTTCCTCAATTTCCCATGGAGATTGTCTAACATGCATAATGATAAAAAGAAAAATTGCATAACATAAAAAATTGTTATTAACAATCTAAAATGGCACAAAGGAAGAAAAAGATAAATCAAAGACAGAGAAAGAAAACCAACAAACCACCTTCCCACAAAACTCTACAGTATAAAGGAAGAACCTTGACATGAGATAAAATGAAAAACAAGAAAAATTATGCCAACACCTCTCATTTCCTAAATCAGATACAATTCAAACAAATAAGCAAACAGAGGGAGAGAGAGAGAGTCTTTACCATCCAAGAAAAGTGAAAGCCACAGGAAGAATGAGAGCCTGAAACCCGATCCCGGCATTGAGATTGTGAAATGCAGCATAGTATGCGTTCCCGTTTCTCGACTCGGTAATGGGGAGCCATGCATCTTGTGGATTTAGCTTAGTCAAATGCCCAATGTCTTCTAAATAGGCCTTCATATTCACCAAAACTCTCTTCATTGGGGTTCCTATTGGGCTCAAAAACCTTGGAGAAATAAGAGAAGAGGGGGTCCATGGAGTTCTTGGGGTCTTTAATGGCGGGGGAGGAGATGCAGGGTTAGAGAGAGAAATAAGAGAAGAAGACAGGGGCCTCGGTGATCTCTGACCGGAGGGAGTTACAGCATGGGAATGTGAGCTAGAGAGAATGTCCGGTGTCAAAGGTGGGGTGGAGACCTTTGGAGTTGCAGGTATAGAGACCAGCTCTGGTTCAGAGCTCCTTTCTTCCATTAATGGAAAGTTGGGGTGAGCAATGGTGGAGTTTGTTTGATGTTGGGTCTCTGTTCTACTTTATGTTTGCTGGTACAAGTGGTGATTTCTTTCTCTATAACGTTGCTTGTGCAACTGGTGATTTGTGTACTAGTTACTGTGTGTGTGGGGTTTAGCTAGTACATTAATAATGGAGCTTCTCTCTCTCTCTCTCCCCTGTTCCTCTGCACAAAAAGGACTCTCTCTCTCTAGTCTCTTTACATAAACATTAAACATGACTCTCTATCTCTCTAGCTTCTGATCTCTGGTGATCTTGCTCTGTGCTCTCTATTCTATAGTCCCTCTCTCTCTTTCTCTCTCTACATGGAAAAGGGGTCTTTCTCTCTCTAGATGCCATTTTTTGGTTTGGGTATGAAAAATGTATTAATCAGTGACAGTAGAAGCTTAGGATATGGAAAAGTTTAATGTCACGTATTTAATCTGACGCCTGTTGCAAAGTTTCAGGACAGAAACAGGGGACGTTACTTTCAAATATTGACCAAAATGCTCATCATCCTTTTGTCAAATACCACTCTTGGATTCTGCTGGTCAGGACTCGGGACAACCACTGGCTGAGCTCTTATTTTCAAGCAAAACGATTTCTATTCAAGCCCAAACAAATAGAGTTGTTATTTTAATACTAGGTGCCACTGTAATTGCATGAATAAAAGGAAAAACCAATATATTTTTATCCCGAAAATGGATACCTGAGAAGATAGTTCTTGAAAAATTAACCCCTGTCAATATTTACCATATTTGAAAAAGGACAAAGTCCTTGTTCTTTTTAAAAATTGGAATTATATATTATTTTTTTACAAAATAAGAATTATATATTATGAAGTTATTGATTATTGGTACAAAGAAGTCTAATCTCGCTTTAGCCGATTCAATGTAAAATCCAATCGATAGAGTGTCTAGCAATATTCAAGAAATGTTATTATGGACTTTGTGCTCAAACAATGATACATCCGTCATATGCATTTTTTTTAAAACCAAAGCAAACCTCAAAACTTATCAAAATTAATGACACTTTAAAACCTTCCAATGGATCATCTCGATCTCAGAGGCATATAATATGGAAAAATAAAAAAAAGGCTTTAAGTCCTTAAAAATAGTACATCTTGTAACACGTTATCTTAACTATCTATTTTCAATATTTTATATACTTATTTGTGCCACATTTAAAGTTTTAAATTTTATAATTAGAGATAAAAATAAATTTTTTGCCCCTCATAAGAATTTCCAATCCAAAAATTACATTTTTTGACAAAATTTGCTGGTGTCCCTTACTTTGATTATTTAAGGCTAGCACTGAACACAAAGTGCACCCTTTAAAAAATCGTCAATCTATAAACTCTTTATTTGGATATGGAATTGGCCAAATCCCCGAGCTTTTTTTTACATTATATATCCGAATTGGACTAAGGGATCGCCGAGTCGGACAGCGGCATATCAAATCCTGAGGATTTGAGGACCTTATTATAATATTTTAAGGAGAAATTTATGAAAGACACATGCAATTGTTTAATAGTTTACTTATTTTCAACTGTTCCAACCTATGACCACTGTGTATTTTAGTAGGTTTTTTTGGTATTCAATCGAAAGATTCTTTAGTGTATTTTGATAAATTTCCTGCTTCTGAACATTAAATACAACAAGGTACCAAATGAAAATGGAATAAGGAATAATAAAACAGTAGTTGAGGTATTATAGTTTTGGAAGAATTGAGTATTAATTTCATGGTTTCAAATGCTCGTTGTTTTCAAATTAAATGCTGAAAAGTTGGTGACTTTAGTAAAATTCTCCGACAAATCATCATAAAAGATAGCATGCCGTGATCATGCATGACTTGATCTTTGACTGGGTGATAAATTACCAATTTACCCCCCCCCCTCACTTCCCAATATGCACATAAAGTCCTTAGGCACCTATGACCATTTTGCCCATTCTCATAGTCCTCGAGAGCACCGGTGGCTACTGAGTTCCGCCACCTAAGTGAGTAATGCCATTAAAAATACACGAGTTGCTTTTTCTATGACCATTAAGCTTGAGGGGTGGCACTAGGCTGGTGTGGCCCGGCCCCGGCCCAGCCTTGAAAAACAAGGGCTTGGGCCAATATAATGTGGCCTGAGAGCCGGGCCAAGGCCGAGCAACCACATCATGAACGTAGTGCTGTTTTTTATTTTTTTTTATATTTTTATTTGGCCCAGCCAAGTAGGCTAGGGACTAAGGTCTCTTTTGGCCCTGTCAAAGCCTTGTCGGGCATGGCTAGCCCTATACAACTGGGACCAAGCTGGCATAACCCAGGGCTGGCCACGCCCGTTGACAGCCCTACTTGAACAAAATTGACCAAGGGAGGATCGGTGAGAGTAATGTGGTGGTTTAAGGTAGAGGCAGCGTAAAAAGCATTGAAAAACCGTGGTCCACACCACAGCGAAGAATTAACTTTTTTTTCCGAGACAACGTGACTCCTCCCTCTTTTCAAAAGAGCATAAGCTTTTTTCTTGCCATTTAAAGCCCATCTCTAGAATCGCTACAGGCTGCCAGCTTAGCGCCAAATATGATGTCCATTGAAATAAAGAAAGACAGTCGGGATGATCTCAAAGCAGCGTCTTCTTTTATAAAATAGCAGACACCAAACACTTCGCCCCTCCTCTCTAAACACTACCACCTTCCTCTCTCTCTTATAAAGGCTTTCAAAACCACGCTCCTCTCTCTCTCTCTCTTACGGGCGCCTTTGATAACAGGAAGCAACCACATGAACTACAAATTAAAAGTACTGGTAAATTAGAAGTTACCTAAGAAGTTAATGGTTTCGGTATTTGATAACTCTCTAAGAAGTTAAGAAGTTCACAGTTTGATAACTCCTGAGATTTATATTTACATAGATAATAATTTAAATAAAAATATATATAATTTAAAGAAAAGATGGGATTAGCCCACTAACTCATATGAACCCAACGGTCCAGATTGATTATGAACCTATCTGACGATCACAAATGTCCGGTAGTATTTGATTTTTTTTTTTTCTATAAATCCAAATCACTTGAAATTTTAGGCGTATATTCTTTTCATCAAGACGCACCTAATAAAAATATAAAAAAACTATTCCTAAAAAAATGACCAAAATACCTTACTAATCTTTTTGAGGGTATTTTGGTCAATTTATTTCATATAAAATATTTTTTTGATATTTTTCAAAAATTCACCTATTTTTAATAAACATACGCCTAAAATTTTAAGTGATTTTGATTTGTAAAAAAAAAACTAAAATTCAAAACTCTACCAGACATCTGTGATCGTCAAATAGACCCATAATCAATTTGAGACGTTGGGCTCATATATTCATATGAGCTAATGGACTAATCTCATTTTTTCCTATAATTTATAACATACTATAATATATAATATATTGTATTTTATATTTATTTTTAATATATATATATATACGAAATTATCTTATATTACATAAAATAATATAATATATCATACATGGTATATATAATATATTATAATATATTATATTATATATAATATATTATAATATATAATATAATATATTATGCATTGTATATATTTTCATTATATAATATTATAAATATCTATTATATAAATAAAATTTTATATATATATATATATGTCATCTGCAAAATAAAAAAATTGCCTTTTTCAAATTTTATAGTTTACCATGAAACTTTACTCAAACATAAAAAGTGGGAATTTCAATATTAAGAAAGTGTTCTCAAATTATCTTCCACTTTTTATCAAACACGTAACATCAACTGTAAAATTCTTTCTTCCTCTTCTAACTTCCAGTTATCAAACATACTCTTATCAAACACACTACTAAGGGCATAGCTTTCTATGCATTTCTGCATAAAATTTATATGCTTCCCCCATCCAACTGTCTATTATGAATGGACCTTGAAATGACCCTTATCACAATGTCATATCTCTAGACTATAATTTTAATTGTTGTTTTGCAAACCATTTTGATACCAAATTTTCATCATCTACTTCTCTTTTTAGTAAAAAAAATATTCTTAATAAAATAAAATGACCAAAATATCTCTAAAAGTTTCAAGAAGTATTTTGGTCATTATATTTTATCAAAATATTATTTTTAATATTTTTTAGATACGCCTCATTCATATGATGGCACATACTACATTTCATATTCATATAATTTATTGAAAAAAAAACTAAAAAAATATTAATTTATTGAAAAAAAAATTAAAAAAAACATACTTTGAGACATTGGATCTAAGATCAAACGGTTAGTGGCTCACTTGATCTAAATTGAGCGGGAGGAAGCATCCATCTTAAGGGAAGTCATGAAACGTTTCCCCAACACTACACCATCCTCTCTCTCTCTCTGCTTTTTTTTATATATAAGAGGAAACACTACCACAGGACCAACCTCCTCTCTCCCTCTCGCTCTCCAAGCAGCCACTATTTTTTGAAAAATCAGCAAACATCACCCCTCTCTCTCTCACCAAACCCTTCCACTATGCTCACATCTCTCCATGGGCTTCTTGAAATATCTAAAGCAACTAAAAGCCAACATATCTCTTTCCTAGCCTATCTCCTCCAAAAATTCGCCAACTCAAATTCCATCAGACAGGGCCAGCCACTGCACGCTCTAATTCTCACCACAATCCCCGAAACACCGCCATTCCTAAACAACAATCTCCTCAGCATGTATGCCAGATGCGGCCATTTAGAAGATGCCCAAAAGGTGTTTGATACGATGTCTGAGAGGACCATTGTAAGTTGGAATTCCCTCATCGCTGCCTATTCTCACTCCTCCAACCACCATCACGCCTCTTTTGCACTCTTTCTCTCTCTAAAAATGGCGACCCATGATGGCCTCAAACCCAATAATTCTACCTTTGCAAGCCTTCTTCTTGCTTCTTCTTTTTTAGATGAAAGTTCCCATGGAGAAACCATTCATTCGCAGTGCATAAAATCTGGTTTTTCAGATGATCTCCGTGTCCAAACCTCTCTCATTGGCTTCTATTCCAAATTTGGGAACTTGGGTTCAGCAAACCAAGTCTTCAATGGCATATGCAACCCCGATACCATCTCATGGAACTCCATTATCATAGGACACTTGCAAAATGAGAGCACAAAACAAGGTCTACATCTTTTTTGCAACATGGTGAGGACTGGAACAAAGCCAAATTGCTTCACTTTTGCAATGGCTTTGAATACCTGTAGTAAAAGGATGGATGGACTTGGAGGGAAAAGCATCCATGCCCAGATAATTAGAACCGACTGCTTTGTGGATGTATCACTGCAAAATGCTTTGATTGATATGTACTGCAATTGTGGAGAGAGAACAAAAGCTTTCGCCATTTTTAGTGAGATTGTTGATCCAGACCTGGTTTCATGGAATTCAATGATAGCAGGATTTGCCGAAGATGGGAAGAGAGAGAGAGCTATGGATTTGTTCACAGAGCTCCGCAAGGGTGAGAGGCCAGATGAGTACAGTTTTGCTGCCATTGTTTCAACAATTGGGGCCTTACCAGCACAGTGCTATGGTAAGCCCCTCCACGCTCAAATCTTAAAAGGAGGATATGAGTCCAGTATTTTCACAGGAAGTACCCTTATAGACATGTATTTCAAGAATCGAGAGGCTGATTCAGCCAATAAGATATTTGATGGTATGGGAGAGAGGGATGCAATTGTTTGGACCGAGATGATCACAGGCCATGCATTGATAGGCCATGGAGACATGGCCATCAAGTATTTCTGTAATATGGAGAGACAAGGGCATAAACCGGATCAATTTGCTTTAAGCAGTGTATTAAGCTCTTGTGCCGATCTAGCATCTCTGCAAAAAGGTGAAATAATCCATTCTAAGGTGATAAAGTTGGGCTATGACAATGATAATATCATTTGCGGAAGCCTGATCGATATGTACTCAAAGAGTGGCAACCTGATTGGGGCTATTATGGCTTTCTCAGGAGTTGCAGAGCCTGATTTAGAGTGTTGGAATGCCATGCTTGGAGGGTACAGCCATCATGGAAATGCAGAGGAGGCTTTTGAGATATTCAATAGAATGGTGAAGAGAGGGATAGAACCTGATCAAGTTACATTCGTTTTACTGCTGTCCTCTTGTAGTCATCGCCACCTGGTAGAGAGAGGAAAGCTTCTATGGGATAGAATGGTCGTGGACTATGGTATTTTGCCAGGCATAAAGCACTATACTAGCATGGTGGGCTTGTTTAGTAGGGCTGGGCTCTTGAAAGAAGCAGAAATTTTGATCTTGGGTTCGCCTTTTGGCACTGATTTTCTGGAGTTATGGAGAATTTTGCTAAGTTCTTGTATTGATTCTGGTGATCTGGTGATGGGGCTTAAATTAGCTGAGAGAGTTTTGAGCTTCGAGCCAGAGGACACTGCAACTTTTGTGCTGCTTTCAAATGTCTACGCAGTGGCAGAGAGATGGGAAGATGTTGCAAAGGTGAGAAGAAAGATTAAGGCTTTGGGGTTGGAGAAGGATCCTGGCCTTAGCTGGATTGAACTCAAGAATAGGTTCCATGTCTTTTCTGCAGGGGATGAATCCCACCCTCTAATCAACAATGTTCTAGAAGAGTTGAAGAGGCTCGAGAAAAACATGAAAGAATCTGAAAAACAAACACAGGTTTTGCCAATGAAGAGGTCATGTGATTTGTGAGATTTAAGAAGCACCAGGTAAAAGCAAGCTATAGATTTTCAACACAAGACCAATATGGCTAAGTATACTAATAATCCCACGGACAATGGAAAACCCATTGGACAATTGTACATTATCAGCCGATAATTATCTGCACAAATTATTAAAAAAAAATCAATATCAGTATCAGCTCCTTCCAACTTGCTTCAGAAACAGAAATAATGAGATTCCTGGCGTTTTGGCCATTAAGGAGATCTTAATGTTACAAGTAACTGGAACTTACATAGAAAGACAATAAGGTTACTTTCATAGCAATTATAGGCGAGCCTGCTTTGCAGCATAAAATACACAAACAGTAACGATGGTTCAAGTATTTACAGTAGCTGTTCAAAGAATTGGGCACGCCATTTCAGGGGTGGTAAAAGAGGGCGTCTTATATTCGCACTCTTCACCTGAAGACAAATATGACCGGAGGAAAAACCAGGGTCAAGAGGCCAATGCAATATTTGGTCCAGGCTGTGGTTCATAAGGAATGTCAAATGCTGTGGAGGGAGGCCAATATCTAAGCACCGATCTGCCAAGAATGTTCTTTATAGGCAGAGGTCCCCTGAAAATCAATTCAATTATTTCAAGAGTCAAAAAGTGATGCAGATAAGGCCAACAAAAGAGAATATTCACAGGCAAAGGCAAAGGCATTAGGACAGTCCATGAAGGAAATGGACCTTGTCAAACATAAATAAAAATAATATATATATATATATATATATATATATATATATATGAAAGATGCTAGGGTGAACCCCCCTAGCTCACAGAAAATAATGAACCCAACGGTTCAAATTGAATCTGAGCTGATCTAACGATCACGGATATCCGATAGTATTTGAATTTTAATTTTTTTTCTACAAATCCAAATCACTTGAATTTGAAGCGTGTGTACATCAAAAATAAGTGAATCTTCAAAAAATATCAAAAAAACATTTTACATGAAATAAATTGACCAAAATACCCGATCAAAAACATTTTCACAAATTATTTTTTTTATTTTATTATGTGCAGCTTGATGAGAAGAACACATCTAAAATTTTAAGTGATTTGGATTTGTAAAAAAAACAATTAAAATTCAAACCTACTAGACATCCGTATTCGTCAGATCAGCCAAGATTCAATCTAAGCCGTTGGGCTTATACTATTCCATAAGCTAGTGGACTCACCCAAGCCTTTTTCTATATATATATATATATAAATATATATATATATATATACACACACACACACACACCAGTGTTTTAATCAGTGATCCAGATTAGAATCAGCTGATCCGGATCTTGTAATATATTGGTAATTGACAGGTCCCCCCATGAACCAGCCGGTTCCATCTCAATCCGTGCAAGTTCTTTGACAAAACCGAACCGCCTCAACTTTTGTTTTTTTCTTTAATCATTGAACCGGCCCCCTTAATTTTCTTTTTAATATTTCCAATTTCCGGTTCAGTAGACTGAATCACTTATCCGAATCGCTAAACCGGATCGGAAATACGGAGGGGTGATCCAAGACACCAATCTGTTCTTTTTAAGCCTTGTATGTTACATTTTTTCTTCGTTAAAACAATTAAAAACTTTTTTTTTTTGTTGGAACAATTAACAATAAGACCTAGGCACATTTCAGATGTGTACCAATTGTGGGAGTCAAAGCTGTTGTTGCGATTGTCTCCCATAACAAAGACATAGCCTTCAGGCACAACCTGCCATAAACAACAACAGAGCGAACAGAGTGAGAGATTATATGGCAAGCATAGAAAAAGAAAAGGCACGACATTTTCGATGAAACTAGTTTGGTCATGGACATCTATTATTGGTAAATTATATCTTAATGTATTCAAGATTACAAGATTATCCATATCAATTTTTTTCCATCAATAAATATAAATTTGGCATCTTAACTTGTAAAAGAGATTGTATAATGTCTCAATGACAGTGATGGGAAAAATTGGAGTATATCGTCTGCCAAACATAACAGATCCTGCTGAGATTTGATTGAAACCAGGAATAAGGCCGAAATTAAAGCCTCCCAGAGAAACAGGAGAGAGAGAGAGAGAGTGTCGGTGTGTGTGTGAGTGCGCGTGAGTGAGTGAGTGAGAGAGCGAGAGAGAGAGAGAGAGAGAGAGAGAGAGAGAGAGAGAGAGAGAGAGAGAG